ACTGTGAAAACAATGAGGATAAAATTAATCAGCAAGTGGGGTGTCTCAGTATTGCAGTGCAGGTTAAAATTTTTAAAACTAGTTGATACAACTTACCATGTGAGTAAATAAAAAGCAGTCTACAACCTCAACTATAGAAAGAAATACTAAACAAAATTTAATGAGTAGCAAACTTAGAATAAAAGTTTTCTCAAAGGCATCTGTGAAAAATGTAGTTTATATCATACTTAGTGATAGTTTAATGTTTTCTCTCCGAGGTTAACAGCAAAGCAAGAAAGTTTACATCAAGCACTTTTATTAACATTCTATTAATGGTCCTATCCAATGGAGTAATGCAAGAAAAAGAAGTAAAATGCATTCAAGTTTCAAAAAGTGAAATTCTTATTTGCAAATAACATTATTGCATATATAGAAAGTCCCAGACAATCTTTGGAAAAGACACTAATAAGTGAGCTTAGCAAGGTCACAAAATATAATGTCAATGCAAGTTTTTTCATATTAGTAAGGAACAACTGGAAAATGAGCAAAAGCACTTATTTCAGAGGGATCCAAAATAATGGAACACTTCAGGGATACATTGTAGTAAAATAAATCTAGACTTGATCACTGAAAACTAAAGTATCAACAAGGAAATAAAGAAGAGCTAAACAAATAGAGATAAAATGTTTGTAGCACAAAAGACTCACTGTTGATAGATGTCAGTCCTCCCTAAATTGATTTAAACAGTTAATGTTCATCACATTTAAAAAGTTATAACAGGCTTATTTTTTTGGACTTACTCAAAATATATAAAAAATTCTTACAACACGAATAACCAAAAGTCCTTTTAAAACACGACAAAAGATACTTTCTGAAAAGTTGATATATGATTGGCAAGTACATGCAAATTGTTATTCGTTAGGGAAATAACATGAACGCCACTGAGACATAACTAAAGATCCCTAGGATGGCTGTAATTCAAAAGACAAAATAGTGCTGGCAAGGATGGGGCAGCTGAACCTCTCATACATTGCCAATGAGGACAAGAAACAGTCTTCGGTCTTACGAAATTTCAGAGAGAGTAGATCACCAGTTGTGTGGAATCAAGGTAAGAGGCAATAAAGGAGAAATTACTTGCTGAGCCATGTAAAGGAGCTTTTTAGAGTGATGTAGGACACTACGTATTTTGATTTGGGTAAGGACTTGTTCAGTTATATGCTTAAAATAGGTGTATTGCAAGGTTTTGTGAGTATGTCAGGAATAGTAATAGTCTTGTGAACAGCTTTTTTTTCCTGTCAGTGCTCTTTCTGACAAGACCCAGCCAATAATATTTTGTGTAGAAAAACAGACATGGTTTTTTTTTGTAGTTTCATTGAAGTGTTTAATAACAAGTGTAACATGTGGACAGTGAATAGTTTTCCCATATTTATACATAGCACCAACCAAAACTAAACAGTGGAATTTATCATTTCCACAAACAATGTTGAGTGTTTTGGTATTTTTTTATTGTCAATTTTTATAACAATTGAGCCTAAGAATTTTTTGTACTTTGTAGAAACTAGTTTATATGTCATGAATGTAATTATCACATTCGTTTAAGAAGTAGCATATATTAAAAGTGTTTTCTCTTGTAATGATTTCTATCGCATCTACATTTTTATGTGGTTCTTAACAAATTTGTATCATATACAGTAGCTTCATCAATTGAAATGTAGTGACCATTTGAAAAGTACCATACAGGAATACACCAGCAGTGACCAGGAGATGAAATCAGTCACTACCAACATGAAAGACCTGAGAAGGCCTGGCATTATAGCTTGTACGTTGATATTCTTGCAGTTCATTAAACATTTTTCCTTCTTATTATACTTGTTTTGTGTCCTACATTATGCCTGACACTGTGAATACAAAAATGAATATAGTAATTCCTACCCTTTAGGAACTCAGCCCAAAAAGGGCAGACTAACATACAAACAAAATTGTAACTACAATCAGTGATATAAACGTATAAAAAGTAGGAAATGTTGTTAGAAAGAGTGAGACAGACCCATAAAACTCTTAAATGCAGGATAATAGAAGTAGGAGCTAAGAATCAAGACTTTCAAATGTGTGAAAAGTGTGGAAATGTTGCAGAGGGAAAGAATGATGAATTCTTAAATATGGCAGAAAGATCAGTGAAAGATTCCTTTAAACAATAACTGAAGATAAATTATTAAGGTAGGATATGCAGTTATCAGTGGTAGAGTGGATTTTACAGTGAGATTAGTATGTAGCAGGCTCAGATACATGAAACATGGTATGTTCAAGAAACTATAAGCCTATTTATGTTAGGCTAAAGTTTGAGGCTTGAGAGATGAGCGCTATATTTCCCTTCATTGTTACATGTATGAAAAAATAGTCTAGTAAGATAAATGGAATAATAGAGTTAAAGATTATATTTGAGTACTATCACTGCAATAAATTGTAAATATAGGGTATACGCTTTATTCATATTTCAGAAATGTGTATCTCTTCCGCTTTTCTTTCCTTTACTACATATGCGCATGCGTGCATGTGTGTGTGTGTGTGTGTGTGTACATGTATCCTATGTGTATGTTTATATAGAAAGACAGGATAATTGAAGTAGGAGCTAAGAATCAAGACCTTGTTTCTGGTGCTGGCTCTCATCTTTCTTGAGCCAAGTACTTCATTTTTCTGAGCTTTGTTCTCCCTGTTTGTATACTGTATGCAAACTCTATGATCCATGTTTTTTAAAAAATATTTTTGGAGGGAGTCATAGTAGCTAAGTACCTGGAATACAATAGGTGCTCAATGCATACTTTTGAAAAAAAAAAAAGGTAAGTTGTATCAAAGAGAGACTATCTAGTTAAAATAAGTTGTGACAAAGTATAAGCAATAGAACATTTATGTATAGATTCTTGCTTCTCGGGATGTCCTTAGTATTTACAATATGTTCAGGCAGTTTGCCTTTATAAATTATTTCACCTACCATTTAGATTTGTGAGGTCTGATGGTGTAGAAACTACAGTGTACACTGTACATAAAATACTTGTAGATTTGAAAATGGAAATAAATTTTCCTCCTTAAAAAGAATGTCATATGACAAAAACATATGTATTCAATTGACAGTGTTTATTAAAATGTATTCAGTTGATTTCTTTTAATCTGGCTATGGCAGAAGTGCTTGGAGTTCAGGTTTTTGGCTCATGATTTTTAAAATTAGTACATATTATACAGAATAATAGGTTTTATTTTGGCATATTTTATATGCATATAACATACTTTAAATCATTTTCACATCCCAGTCACCATTTTTCTTTCCTCCTTCCTCTTCTCTAATTCCCTTCCCTTCCTGCCTCCTACTTGTTTGTCTCTTTTTCTGTGTCTGTCTATCTGTCTCTCTCTCTTTTTCACACACACACACGCTCCATATATGAGAGAAAGCATAAGATAGTTGAGGTTGGCTTATTTCCCTTAAATAGATGTTCTCTAATTCTGTTCATTTTCTTGCAGAAAGCATTATTTCATCCTTTGTGGTGGAATAATACTCTATATTATGTGCATATATATAACACATTTTCTTTATTGTTTCTTCAATTGATGGGCAACTAGAGTATTTCCATGGGTTAGCCATTATGAATTGTACCATAATGTCTTGTTACTTTTCCCTCATTGTTGGGACAAAACACCCGACACCCAAAATGAAGGAAGGAAGGAAGGAAGGAAGGAAGGAAGGAAAGGTTTATTTAGCTGTTGTGGAGTTTTCAGTCCATTATCAACTGACTCCAAGACAGGGTGACTTGGCATTGGGGCAGCACTTCAAGGCAGCAGCCAGAGCAAAAGGGGAGAATCAAGCCTCTTTCTTTATATTGTACACAGGCCACCCCCCTGCACACACTCCACTGGGACTGTAGCCCACTCACAAAATCTCTGTGCCCTCCTTTTGCACAGGATGAGGATATTTACAAAGTAAGGATCCTGGCTTCCTGCTGAGTCCCTTACTTAAACTTCTCAAATTAACACTGGGTATCAACCATAACACACAATAAACAAGGGTATGCAGATAGCTCTGTGGTATGTTGATTTTACTTCCAGAAGTGATATAGTTGGATAAAATGGTAGCTTTATTTTTATTCCATAATGATTTCCATAATGGCTTAACCAGTGTATAATCACACTAACAAGTACACGACAGTTCCTTTTTCTCTTGCATTCTTGCTAGCATTCATTCATTGCCGAATTGGGAATTGAGCTCAGGGCATTTGCACTGAGCTGTAGCCCTATCCCTTTTTGATTTTGAGACAAGATCTTGTAAGATACTCAGGCTGTTCTTGAACTTGAAATTCTCCTGCTTTAATTTCCCACTGTGCTGAAATTATAGCCATGCACACCACACTTGGCTGCTTTTGTTTTGTTTTGTTTTGTGTTTTTCATTTTCCAATCTTGATGATCACCTCCTTCTGAGTAGGGTAATACAGAATATCAACAAAATTTTGATATGCATTTCCTTGATGGCTAAAGATGTGTTGGACATTTTCTGACATACTTTCTGCCTATGTGTACTTCTTTTGAGGAGTGTCTTGTTCATTTACCCATTTATCGATTAGGTTATTTGTTACGGTGTTAAATTTTTTCAGTTATTTTTGTAGCCTTTGTATTAATCCTTGTTGGATGAGTAACTAGCAAAAATGGTCTCCCATATAGCAGGCTGTTGCTTCACTCCGTTGTTTTCTTTGCTGTGTAGCTTTTTAATTTGATGCAATCCTCGTAGTTGATTCTTGCTGTTATTTCCTGTTTTTTTCTTCTTAATAATTTAATTATAAAATAGACCTTTTTTCTTACATAAACTTTACCTTTTTCCATTCAAAACAAGCACTTCTTTCCATGGTACTGTTAACATTGTTTGCTGCTTTTCCATTGTTCTGCTTGCAAAATGTATCTTTTTGGAGCAGGAGATAATTTAAAAAAACAAACTCGTTACTATATTGGACTGTTAATACAATTTATTTTTTTATCTCTAGGGATCCTATTGGGCAATAGACACCAATCCGAAGGAAGATACGCTGCCTACTCGGCCAAAGAAGAGGGCACGCTCTGTAGAACGGGTAAAAACTTCTTTATCATAAATCATATGCAACAGGTTGAATAGTCAGAAATGTAGGTTTTATAAATTCATTTCAGTTTAGCAAACATAATCACAAAAAGGGTAAAAGAATATTTGGATAGCATTTTACGTATCTTCAAGGACCTTTCAGACCTGTTTTTTTATTTGACATTAACTCTGCAATGGAAATTAGGTAAAAGGTTTGGTCATAATTGGAATACAGCTATTGTCAGAATTTGCATGTAGCTCTCGAGTTTTAATTTGATACTCTTGTTCTCTATAGCTACAATTTTGAGGATTCATTTTATGTAACACAACTGTTTCCCACCAGTGCACATGATCTTTTTTGGTTGCTTTGAATGTTCCCCATTGTCCTCAAAATTCTTTTCTCTAGGTTTAGCCATATAATAGTCATTTTGTATACAGAATGGGGGTGGTATGTTTAAGATAATTCTAACTCATAAATTCATGGTTAAAATAAATTTGCAAGCATGAAAGAAAAAGGATCTGTTGATATCCTCAGTTATATTTTAAGCTGCCACTTCAGCTGTCATCAGACATTAACTTTATTCTTCGGCTTTCTCTACCTTTTCTGTCATTCTACCATTTCAGCTGAAACACATACATCCTGCCTTGTTGTTCAACACCTGTCTACTGCTTTGTGAAGTCTTTACTCATCTTTTTGTGTTCTTGTAGAATTCTTAGAAATTTTTTAAAATAGAATTTTTCATACTTTATAGAAGTATTTGTCTTCTGTATTGGTTTGATCTCTTCTTAAAGGTAGAAAAAATGTGTTTTTATCTCCACTGTTAGTGTTTTTCACAGTTTATGATAGATACCAGAAAATCTTTTTTACAGAAAAAATCAGGGCAAAGAGAATAGAATAAGAAGGAAACAATAAATATTTAGTCAAGTAAATTTGATCTATGCTTGTTGCTGCTAAAGAAATAAAATTTATGAGCCTCAAAGATAAGAACCTCAGATTGGATATAAATTGGGATTATGTGAGCCAGGGTAGTGTATCAGCACTTGGGGCTTAGTGAGGTAGCTTTATTAGAGCCAGCAGAGGGAATTTTGTAAGCTAGTTATCAGGGTATATAAAATAAAAGGATAAGTTAGGCCAGAATAATTTTTGACTTTACATAAGCAGAGTTTAAGAAGTTAAATTGTAGGGTTAATGACATAATCTTCTGATAATAGATGTAGACAGTTTTAAGAGGGAGATGTTGACATGCTTAGTACTTGGCAAGTTGAAAGACAGAGTACATCTCAGTGTCTCTTATCTTGCCTCTGTCTTTTAAAAGACCTAGCACTTGGACTTTGTGTGGAAATGTGGAATCCACAGCATTTAACCTATTGCCAGAATTTGAAGGAAAAGGAGAAAAATCCACATTGTTAACTCATAGCATTGTCAAGCAACTTGGATATGTAGGTTAAGGCCTAGGTAATTGTGTTCTCTTGTACTATTTATCTCTTCTTTTGATGTTTCTGGAACTTGAATTATTTTTGGAAGTTGGAGTTGATAGCTGGATTGACAACTGCATTCCTTTTTGATATTAAGCCTATATTTAGTCCCTTATACTTGTTTCAGAGACTGTACAGTAATCTGTATTTCTGAGAGTTCTTCCTTTTCTTTTTGATACTGTGGTCAGTTTTATAGAAGTCTACAGAAATACATGACTCAGATTACAGAAAGATGTATTTTTAATATATGTCTTATAATATACTTGATATATTCCTTTTTTGCTGCTTACCCTTTTAAGTTTAAAATGTAAAAGTTTCACAAAATTAACTGTGGCATGGTTCCACTAAATATACATACAATACCTAAAACTTTCATTTAGTAGTGATATTTTTATTGGCCCAAGCTGTGGTGTTGGTTGCTATTTTAGGAGAAAAACCTGAAGATAGAGATCAGTTGTGAGCAAAGTGCTCATTATCAGTGAGATAGATAATACTTAGTAAATATTCTGGAAAATAGTTTTCTTACAAAAAGTCATTTCCTATCCTTATAAACCAGTGTGTCTTTGTCATCTAGAGATGGAAAGGGAGAGAAGTTATGTAGAATTTTTTTGTTAGGACAGATCTTATATTTTACGTGACTGGGGTCTTACCTGAGAAAACACCTAGTGTAGTTGTGATAGTTCTAAACATGATCTTTAAACATTTAGTTTTCTCCAAAACTAAACAGGACTAATAAGTTGAAAACTTTTAAAGGCTAAAAGGACTTTTAAATGTAGATGATAAATACATTGACATCCTGAAAGTTCTTTACTGAGTATCTGTAAGTTAAGATTCTTTCATCAGTGTATAATTACGATTCTGTGTAAAAAATCTAGTATCTCACACACACATTTTTTGTTTTGGAGATAAGCTTTATATGACACAGAAAAAACTTTCTGAATTGCTAGAGGAATTATTTTTTAAAATGTAAGCAAGAAAATCTTCATGTCCTTACTAGAAAATCAAGTCTATAATACCTGATAATCACATCTACTTTTGGTTTGTTTGTGGTACCGGGGCTTGACTCCAGGGGATTCTACCACTAAACTACAGTAGCCCTTTTTTATTTTGAGCCTGAGTCTCATCTAGTTGTACTGGCAGGACACAAACTTCATCCTGTGTTAGCCTCCCAAAGTGCTCAGCTAGTCTGACATTAACATGAACTGCTTCCCTGACTTTCCTCTCATTTGTATGATCATAAGTCCATGTACTCTAATCTGCTATATTATTCTTCTTTTCTTAATTCTTGAATATATCAATGTCTTTCTTTAATTCATCTCATCTCCCCAATCATAAATGACCTGAAGACCTTTTAAAAACCAAATAAAATTTTAGTATTTTTCAAAATACTGAATAAAATGGTCAGATGATAGATTGTTCTGTTAGAAAGCTTGCATTTCTTTTCTGGCTTTATAACTTAGTAGTTCTTTTTTGGCAATTATTAAAAATTTTGAGCTTCAGTATCCTCAGATAAAGTTAGAGGATAGAAGTTGTAACAGCTTAATAATAGTTATATTGAGTTATGATGTCAGGTGCTTTTTATTTATTTTACTATAGAGATTTTTTATTGTCACACATCATTATCTTACGGATTTTTTTCTGAAGAGGAAAAAACACAAAAATCAAGAAGCAAACAGGAAAAACAAAATTGTTTAATCAATGTTACATGCCAGTATCTGGTAACCTGAGCAGGTATTTTGAAGATAACAATATACAATATAACAACCATTGTTAAATTCCTATCATCTTCATTTGAAATCCTATATCACTATTGTTATTGTCGTAGTCTTCTCAGGTGCTTTTTTTAATGCATATGAATTCATTTGAGTTTTCACGTAACTCATTGATGAAGCTAATGGACATGGATGTTAAATAAGTTGTCTCAGAGTACGTACCAAAGGCAGGATTAAAACTCAGGTAGTTTGCCTTTCAAAGTCTGCTGTTTATAACTATACTGTTGTTAATAGTGTTTGCTGTGTTGAAAACCACAACAGTTAATCAGGTTCCCTTTATATGTGCGCATCTTGTGTAAATGAGAATTCCCTGAATATAATGTAAACAAATCAAGTAACAGAAATGTACTATAAGTGACAGAGCAAGTACAAAATAACTATTATACCAAGTAGTGATAAAATTAAACTGACTCAAAATAGATATGCTACCAGTTTACACCTGTAGGAAGAGATGTGAGACTTCAGATTTTGTTGTAGAAGTGTAATGATTTTTTACATATAAAAGAAATGAGCCTGGAGTGGTAGCACACACCTATAATCCCAGCACTCTGAAGACTGGGGCAGGAGGATCTTCGCAAGCTCAAGGCCAGCCTGAACTGCATAGCGTGACCCTGTCTCAAATAAAGGAAAAAAACCAGGATATTCCATGTGGAGAAAACAGCATGCATGAGTGACTTGTAAGGAACAAGTGCAGAGAGGTATAATTAAGAATGCTTGTAACTATAATGAAAAGTTTAGGCCAGGGCACAGCTATTTAGGATTAGAAAGATTTGGGTCACAAGTATAAAAGTACAAGATCAAGGATATTGCTTTGATGGACTGTCGTGTTGAGAAAGGAATCAAAAATAGTTTTCTTTCTTGTTTTTTTTTTTTTCTTCCCTACCCCCCCACCTATAGTTTTCAAAAGATACTTACTCTTTAGAACACTCATTCTAAGAAGTGATATTGAACAGATGGAATTGTGCTGCTAATAGCCTGAATGTATATTTGAGAGTTTTCCTAAAAATTAGCATGGTATCAGATTTCCACATGTATACCTATAATTATACATACAATGGTATTTTATCAAATTTAATCTGGCAGTTCACTGTTGTGTAGATATCATATGCCAGCTGTTATGCTGGGACATCATAATCATCCATCCTATTGGCGTGCTTGGGCCATATGGAACAAAGAGGAATTATATTGGACCACATGTAAATAATAATATAGTTAATGTGTATAAGTGGCAAAACCTCTTCTACATTTTAATATTTTAAGGAGATACATAAAAGAGATGGACAGTGGTTTGGACATGCCTAGAAGAAGAATGAAACATAAAATGCATTAATTTTAGCAAAAAAAATTAGTAGGTATTAGAAGAAAAGGTATAAAATATTGTGTGTTGAGGAAAGAGAGATTGCTTCAGTTTTTTGAGACAAAATCTTGCTATATAGTTTCTGATGGCCTTGAACTTACTATGTAGCCCAGGCTTCCTTCAAATTTGTAGTAATCGTCAGGCTTTTGAGGGCTGCGATATAGGTAAGCAGAGAAATGTATGCAGTAGTACTTTTAGTTATGAACTGAATAAATATTTCTGCACATAAGTATATCCAAGTGTACAGTATGTCAGTGACATTGCATATTACCTCCAGTTTATGTACGTAAATAGAATTTCCTAGGGATTTTGAGAAATGAAGAAATCCTATCCAGTTAAAGATGTAAATAAGAAAAGTTTTGTGAGGCCTTATTTTGATTAAAAAGTGTTTTGGTTTTTTATAACATT